TTTTTTTTAAACTTTCATTTAGATTTTAATTTGCCATCTAACTCTTACTTAAAGTCTGATAAATGTTTATTTTGAAATGTATTAACATCTATTCTTCTCGTACTGTACATTGGGAAAATTCACCAGCTATGTACATACAAATGAGATATTTTCTGTGGTTCATTTATATTTAGGACTCTGGGAACCCCTAACAATGAGGTCTGGCCAGATGTTGAGTCGCTGCCAGATTATAAGAATACCTTCCCAAAGTGGAAATCTGGGAATCTGGCCAACACTGTGAAAAACCTGGACAAGAACGGCATTGACCTGCTCACGGTAAAAAGGCGTCCTAACATACTGATGTCCTACTTATCTGTTTGGGTTTGTCTCCTTTTCTCTCCTCACATTGATTTTTATTGTCTCTTTTGTTCAGAAAATGCTGATTTATGACCCTCCTAAGCGGATCTCAGCACGGCAAGCAATGACACATCCATACTTTGACGATTTAGACAAAAGCACTCTTCCAGCTAGTAACCTCAAGATATAGACTTCAGATCTAAAGCAATGTAAACTTAGTCTGTTGATACGCAATAATTTACCTCTTGTTCATTTGTTTATTGGGTGGTTTTTCTACTTTTGTGTTGTCTGTTTTTTGTATGTCTTTTTCCTATCCTGTTTTCATGTTAGATAAAACACCCGTTTGTAAATAACATATATTTTTTGTGGACCTGAAGTGGCATATTACAAAAATAAACCGTTCATAATAAAGAGCACTTTGTAGGATCCCATCATAGATTAATGTCTTCTGTTTTCGTGTACATTAATACATTGCATACTTTATACATCACTTGCTCACCATTCTCTGCAGTGAATGGGTGCCGCCAGAAAGAAGAAAACATCACAATAATCCACAAGTAATCGACACGACAGTCCATCAATTAACAATTTGTAAAGTGAAAAGCTATGTGTTTGTAAGAAGCAAATCTATCGTTAAGGCATTTTAACTAAACTGTCATTTCTGGCCAAAATACTAGTCCATAATCCATAATAACACATCTTCAGGTGAATAAATCCACCTCCCATTTTCCTTTCACATCAAAATCCAATGACATTTGTTTAAAACAGTTTCTACTTGTATACAGTGCTTGATCTGAGCCTATTTCTCTACTAATTCAGACAAGATGACTTTTTCACTTGAGAAAGCAATATTATGGATAGAGAACTCCTATTTTAGCCAGAAGCCACATTTTAAAGTTAAAATGCCTTAGTGATGTATTTTTTTTTATCTCACACATGCAGTTTAAAGATAATTGATAGACTTGTCTGATGGCACCCATTCACTTCAGAGGATCAGTTGGTGAGCAAGTGATGAGGAAAATAATGCTAAGTTTTTCCAAATCTGTTTTGATTAAGAAACAAACTCCTCTATATATTGGTTGGATGGCCTGAGGGTGAGTAAGTTTTCACCATATTTTCATTTTTAGGTAAAATATTATTTTAAAGTTAAAATTGTATCTGTTCATGCATTTCATGGGGAACCAAACCCATAACATTGGAGCTAGTAGCACCATGTTGTACTTTTACAATTTTGTTGACAAAGTGTTTTGATTTAAATTTGATTGATTGATTGATTGTCCATAAAAAGAACAGAGAGTAGTCTGTAGAATTATTGTATAGATGTGGAAGAAGTCCAAATTTAGGAGATGATTATAAAATCTGCTCTTATTGCTTTGTATTTATTTTTTTTACGTATCCATTATAGTTTTGTGAGTCAGGTCTTTTAAGAAAATCTTGACTTAATGTAATGTCCAACACTATTTGATCATCAGTAATGAATTAGCATTCTGCAGTGCAGTGAAAGGAAGCGTTGGACAATAAACACTCGACCCATTCATTCTTTTTTTTCAGCATGAAAGCATACTATTCTCTTGCTTTCCGTGTTTTCCATTAAGTTGACCATAGTGTTTGCCAGAAAAATATAAAGGAAATGTCATCCAAGTCATTTGGTACTATTGCCTCATGATTTTATTTCCTTCTCCATGTCTACTCTGTAAACAGTTAAATACTATTTCACTGCCGATCACAATGTTTCATGTAATATTAATGTTTTTTTCTGAAATAGATAGTTTCTTTGTTTAAACCGTGAATCTGTGTAAGCTGAATGAATAAGCTTTCTTTACACTCACTCCAATATGGAGACAGATCAGCCTCAAAAATAACACATTTGCAAAACA